TCGACCAAAACATCGTTTAAATCCAATTCCTGTTGAGAAAAGTGAATCCAATTGTTGTAAACATTTCTGAAGTAATTTAAAAAAAAATTCATTTTAAAACAGTTTTAGTATATTTTATAACAATAAATAAACTAATATTTTAAAAAGTCCAATTTTTATATACATTTTTAAAGTAATTTTGCAAACAATTTATTTTAAACTTCATTGTAAATGTAATTTTTAGTATAATGACAATTTTTCAGCTCATCTTAAATGTTAAACATAACTATAAATAAACGTTTAATTATATACTCGTAATTACGCACAAAAATTAATTATTGATTTTAATAAACTAAAAATACCTTCAATAATTATTTGAGTATATAATGCACAGTATTAGTGAAAAACAATTACTTTCTTAAATACAGTTAATTATATATTAATTATTAAATTAGATAAATATCAAATCAATAAATAATAATAAGTAAAATATTAAATAATTACTTATTATTTGACATTATAATAATTTATGTGCCATAAAATAAAGCAACATAACACATTTTTAAAATTAATAAATTATTTATTTCAAAGCATCGGCTAATTTGTGAACTAATATGAAAAATCGACACAACATTACGTAAACCTATTTTGAAATTAAAAAATTTAGTTAAAATATTCAAATTGATGACAGAATTGCCATTACTTTATATGAATTGAATGAAGTCATAAAGAATTGGTTCCCACACGAGAACCCAATCGACCGCTTCTTACTGTCCACCGACTCTATCACTGATAATAACTATTAAAACAATTAAATGTAAAATTATTTACAATAAAAGTTTAGTTAACAAAATGAAAATTAATTTACTTTTAATCTACAATTTAATGAATGAACTGAATTTAAAGTGAGATATAATTTAATAAATAGTTTCTTTGAATACAACAGTTCTCTATCGATAGATGTTGTGAGAGATATGTGTAAAACCAATACTATTAGACATAATATACTGACGATTACTATCGGAACCAATGATATGTTTAACTCTTCAAATAATATTTGGTGAAAAACAAATAAAATGAATGGTATATATGTGTAGATAATTATAAAGAATATATTTTTCCAAAATGTGTTTAAATTATTAATTGTTTTGTGGGTTTGAATGGATTCTTGTATTAAATGATAAATACTGTTATCGGATGTAAAAAGTGTTTTGTTGCTCAAATATTTAATGTCATTATTGATTGATTTTAATAGTAATTTGCTATAAATACAAATAGTTATAAAATATTTGGATACATTATAGATAATAATTGGCGAGAAATATAACCAGTGATAAAATATTAGGGCTGATGGAAGTCCATGGCATAAAAATGTTTGAATATTATAATTAATTATTGATAAAACAATTATAATTAATAAGAATGAAATTCTAGTAATTATTACCATTGAATTAAAAAATTTATCAACTATTATTGAATATAACACAAATTGTTTTATATATTTTTTGTTAGACATCGACAATGTTTTCATAGGTATCACACCTTTCAATACATATAATAATGAATACCATTTCATCTCTTCCTTAGAAGACATTAAAAATGTATAACAAAAGCCACTAATAATTATAGACACATCCAAAGATATAATATGAAAATAAGTTACAAAACCGCCTAAATTTGGTAGAAAATCATAGCAGTAGTCGGGAATTAATCCATTGTCTGTTAAATACATGTATAAAACAAATCTAAATGAACTGAATATGAAATACAATAACATTAAAACACATTTCAATCTCTTATTCCTGTTTTCAAATCTATAGAGAAATCCGTTTTGAAAGTTATTATCGATGTTATGAAGCGTTAAGTCTTCGACCAAAACATCGTTTAAATCCAATTCCTGTTGAGAAAAGTGAATCCAATTGTTGTAAACATTTTTGAAGTAATTTTGCAAACAATTCATTTTAAAACAAAGTTTTAGTATATTTTAAAACTAACTAACTTTATACATAAATTAATATTTCAAAACATAGTTTATTTAATGAACACTAACTTAAGTAAATAATATAAAGTATAATAAGAACATTATTAATTATCATGTTTACTGTATTACATTTTAATAATGATAACAAAAAACATTATTTTAATAATTAATATATTACTTTTTATATTACTATTTATTATATTTATTAAACAATTATTGTAATTAAAACTAAGTACCTAACTTAAATGTAAAAAAGTTTACTATTGAGAGCTTAAAAATACAATGTATTTATTAAGTTTGTTATACTCAAGTAAATAAATAAATTAGAATAGGTTATATAAATTATATAATAAAATTTATAAGTTGAATAATTATTATGTTTATGGAAATATAAAATGTTTTATTAATAGAGTATATTCTTAAATAGACTAATGGAAAGTATCTAACATGATATTATAACTTTATAACTATTGTAGTCAACTACTTTATTAAATGCATTAAATGTATTTGTTTTATAAATAGTGAATATAATAAAACATTAATGATTATTACAACAAACTAAATATAAAGAACATATACTTTATATACCAAGAACAATTTAATAGCGTTTTTAATTTATAACTAAAAGTTAGGGATCAACAATATTGAATAATATAATTGAGATTTATAAATTGTTTAATATAATTGTATTAAAAATTAACTGTCCGTATATAATAAAATTGATTAAAATATCTACCCATTAATGAGGTAGATTGTATTTACTTTGAATACATAAACTTATATTTAATTATGATTTAAAGCGTCGGCTAATTTATGGATTAATATGAAAAATCGACACAACATTACGTAAATCTATTTTAAAATTTTAAAAAATTTGGTTAAAATATTAAAATCGATGACAAAAGTGAATGAAATACTTGTCATTACTTTATATGAATTGAATGAAGTGATGAAGAATTGGTTCCCACACGAGAACCCAATCGACCGCTTCTTACTGTCCACCGACTCTATCACTGATAATAACTGCAAAACAATTAATTATTTATAAAATATTATTATTATTTATATAATTTACTTTAATTTTTGTATTTATTAAATTAATAGAGTTTAAACTCATTAATAATTTAATAAATAATTTTCTTGAATACAACAGCTCTGAGTCTATGGATGTGGTGAGAGATATGAGTGAAACCAAAGCCATTGTGCAAAATATACAAGAGATCACCAGCGGAACCACTGATAGGCTTAACTCTTCAAACATTATCTGATGAAAAACAAACAAAATGAATGGTATATAAGTGTAGATAATTATGAACAGAATTTTTCTCCAAAACATATTTAAATTATTAATTGTTTTATATGTTTGAATGGATTCTTGTATTGCATTATAAATATTGGTATCCAATGTGAACAGTGTTTGAGTTATCGAGTATTGAATGTTTGTATTGATTAATTTTAACGATAGTTTGCTATAAATACAAACAATTATGAAATATTTGGTTACAGTATAGCCAATAAGTGGCATATAATATAACCAATGATAAAATATGAGGGCTGATAGGAGTCCGTGAATTAGAAATGTTTGAAAATCATAATTAATTATTAAGAAAACAATTATAATTAATATAAATGAAATTCTGGTTAACATAATAATTATGTTCAATATTTTGTCAGTTATTATTGAATACAATATAAAGCGTTTGACAAAGTTTTTGTTGACCATTGATAATGTCTTCATAGGTATCACACCTTTTAATACATCCAAAATTGATAACCATTTCATCTCTTCGTGAGAAGACATTAAAAATGTGTAACAAAACCCAGTGTTAAATATAGTGGTGTCTAAACATATTATATGAAAATAAGTGACAAAACCACCAAAATTTGGCGAAAAATCAAAGCAATAGTCGGGTATAAATCCTTTATTGTCTGTTAAATACATGTATAAAACAAATCTAAATGAACTGAATATTAAATATAATAAAATTAAAACACATTTCAATCTCTTATTCCTGTTTTCAAATCTATAGAGAAATCCGTTTTGAAAGTTATTATCGATGTTATGAAGCGCTAAGTCTTCGACCAAAACATCGTTTAAATCCAATTCCTGTTGAGAAAAGTGAATCCAATTGTTGTAAACATTT